ATTAACCACCCGAATTTCTCCGCAGCCATTCTAGCCCAGCCGAAGAAAAATCAAAATTCCAACAGCCTTGACCACGAAAAACGTGTTAACAAAAACTCTGCCAACGTAGCCAGAAAATGCCGCCGAAAACACTGTCCATTCAACTCTGAGGCAACAGTCCAATTCGCGAGTGTTTGAAAACGCATTCGTCCGCTCGATCGATTGCCTGATCGACCGCACGGGTAGGCGATTCCCTTCAGCCCAGCTTTCAATCATCATTATATATTTCCCTTTTTCTTTTATGTTTTTATCTGATTCCCGGATACCTCCCCTCCTGAAGCTGCTGCCGTTGTGTATGATGCTAGCCGGGGATTAACCTGAAGCCTCCTGGAAGGGATTCTTCGCCTACCGGTGCATCGCCTTGGCTGTAGTGTTCTGGATTCGGATTCCGTGCTCTGCGGTCTGGTACTATTCGTCTGATGACAGGGTTCTTCTACTGGCTCTGTAGGCAATGTTGAAGCTGTCTGGTCAACAGTCGTCAAATGGAAGCTTGGCGGTATTCTGTTGCTTGTGGACTGACACATTGTTGTTCGCAGTTGGTTTAGCATGGGCGTACACCCATACCTGCGTTCCAACACAGCACGTCGTAAATGACGCTTCGCGCGCTCTAGCGCCTGGATCGGGACCTGGCGTCCAGTTGGCCGGTGTCACACACCCCGAGGATACTCACGCACAAGTTACTGGCACTGGACCCGGTCTAGAGAACTGGAAACGCGTTGCTTGGCCACCAAAGCCGTCCTGATTAAAATCACGTCTCCTGTCCTTTAGGTGTCACTTTCACTCTAGCTATGACGACTCTCGTGGAGTTGCGCGACGATCTGCATTACTGTCATTGGCGATGACACGAAGCTCTTCTCTTCTGTTCTATTGCCTACTTGCTTGGTGATATTGCGCACCCGGTGTTTGTAATATTTTGTTTAGTGGATCGATACAGAATGATAGGGAAGAGCGGGTCGCTGCCATCACCTTCCTCTCAGTGTCTCTCCTCTCCTCTTCGAGATTTGGAGGAGGAGCTGCGTTTGAATGTTATCCACAATATCCTCCTCCGCTTGGACCATTCGATTGTGGGAGGGATATGGGTCGGACGACCGCATCGTGTTGTGATGCGCAACGTTGGCGAGATCGCTCGTGTATGAATGTGGCACCGAATGTGAATCTGTGCTTCCATCTTGTTCCGTCAACCAATTGCTTTCCGGGCATGCCGAACCTGCTGAAGTATGTGTCGACAACCTAGAGGAAGGATTTGCGCTCGGTTATTCGTGACTTTCATCAATGCAGGAAACAAGCTTCGGACTCACTTGATCTATAAAGCTGTCTGACCCATCTATGATAGTAAGAGTACCAGGACTGGCCATTATGATTTGGTGCCTGCAAGAGTTCGTACATGAACACAGACCTCCAAGGTTTAGTTGGTTTAGGCACACATGGAGCGCGCAGTTCAGTACTTAGGCGCAGTGCACCATGAGGCGGGTTTGAGCCGACAGTTGCTACCACAACTTTTAGCTAGCTGCTCTTGCTTTCTGGTCGTATCGTTCTGTCGACATGATGATGTCTGGGTCGGTTTGTATTTATTGCAAACTGACTCATGGGAACATCAAAACAGTTGTAATTTTTCCATCCATGTCAAGTCCAAGGAGGTTCAGTTTGGTCGAGTCAGACAGATAGCAGGTTCGGCCTGTTCACTCCGTGAATGCAATTTTGCAATTTTTTCTCCGACCAACTTCAGCACTCCTACCGGTTGCATTGTGAGCGACTTTTGTGGAATCCAATTTTCGGCTTCTTTTTGTGCTTCCAAGTGTTCTGTGGAAATGATCGTTATATCTGATGCCGTATCGAACTGCAGCCGGGTTGGGAGTCGTTGATAAGCACAGTGATAAATCGGCGGCGTGTTTTAGAAATCGCTTGTGAAACGTGCAATCACGATAGTGATCGGTCAGGGTTTCTTGAAGTTCTTTCTTCGTAGAGACTGCTTCACTTTCTTGGCGGACTGATGAAAAAGTACTTCCTTGTGGCGCATTATTGCACTTATCACAAATAGTGACGCTTGATTGGACAGTATCGTGCGAAATGCCATTCACCACATGACCAACAAGGTGTAGGCGGCTTGTTCGGCTTTCTGTTGAACGACTTATTCGAGCCAGCTTTTCTTGCTTTTTGCACAGCATGAACAGTATCGGCAATGGTGGGGCGACTCTGCTCAATCATAGCCGTGTCGTGTTTCAAGGTAATCAACCGTTTGCCTTCGGCTACAAGAGACTTCAATGTCAAAACTGGATCTTGATGCAACTTAGCAAGGAGACCGAGTGCGGATTTCCGCTGTCGCGTGTGAGACTGGTTAAAGCGACCTGACAAATTATAAGACACTTAAACTGGTCATCGTCAAACAGCGTAACTTTGAAATACGTTCACATTCCCGCGGTTAACCATGTCTGCTAGTGCCCCACATAATCGTCTGTATCACGCTTTAACAATTTTTAGACATTGATAGCGAATGCTATAACAATGATGTTGAACTCACAACATAAATTTGCTTTGAGTGTTGCCACATGCTTCGTTGGAAAGTGATGTCCTTCGGCTCTTTGGGCAATATGTGGTCAAGGAATCTTGTATGTCATTAGTATCCGAGCTTGCGGAGCAAAAGACGCAATCTCCAAGAATCATCTTGACGGCTGAAATCCGTCTGGAAACATATCCTCCTCTAACTGCTCTTTGGTTCAGCGTGCTGCGATATTGGTTTGCATTGTTTCACCGTTCATGACGTGACGGCAATCTTCGTGCGTCGTGTTTGGCAGTGTATTATCAGCGGATTGAATGGACGACCCGGTGATCGGCGTGCAGGTGACCTTTCTTTACAGGGGTCGGCTTCGTGCTGAGTCCCGTGATCTGTATACACCATTTCTTCCGTTGGCGGAGGTACGTCGATTGGGTTGTTCTCTATTAGCGGTTTATGTCTCATTATTTCTTAAAGTTCTCTCCGTCGGAGGGGATTGGTTAAACCGGGTCAATCTCGATTTGGCATGTTGATCGAGTCTTGTGTTGAGTTTCCACGCTTCCAGGAATTCCCTTGCATTTTATTGTTTCACACCTCGTGCCAGGGTATTCTGTGTTGGCCCAGTCTCGAAGCTGTGTTATTTTTATTCCACGGCTGTGCTGAGACTAGCTATGTGCAATAGTGTTTTTGCATGTTCTTTTATGCTCGGAGAACAAATGAGCAATTTGAATTATTAACCCGGATGCATACCAGTTTTCCTAACACTTTTTTTAATACTATCCTCCCTAATCCGTTTTGAACCACGCCTCGAAAAAAGTGGGACTCGGAATATATGCATCACAATGGAAAATTCAGTGATGAATTCGCCAAGAAGATCAAGTGAATACAGGCCTGCGGCTGTGTTCCCGTGTAGCTGTCAGTTTGATGTGTACGTTTTAAGTCACCTGCGTTAAACTTTCAATCTGTTTCATTTGTGCTTCCATCTGGGTTTGTTGATGTAGATGAGAATTGTTTGAAAGGTTCGGCAGAAAAATTTGGAACATTTCCGTGCTTGTCCGGGTCGCCATTGCATAGATCTTCCCTTTTTCGGGATTCACGGAAGTTAAACCACCTCGCAGGACATTTTCTCCGCTAGGCATATCGAGCCCAGGCCTGAAGAAAATAATCAAAATTCCAACAGCCTTGACCACGAGAAGACGTGTTAACACATAATAACTCTGTCCAACGTGAGTCAGGATAAATGCCGCTCGAAAAAACACTGTCCTCTTCAAGCTGCAGGGCAAAAAGTGCAAGTCAGCCGGGGGTGTTGAATATACGCTATTCGTCCGCCTCGATCGAATGCCACTGATCGGACCGCAGAATACTTGTGCTGAACACCACTACTGCGTCGAGACCCACAACATCTGGTACCTACCGACGAGATCAGGACCTTGCCGTTAGATCCCGAGGCAGAACCACCGAAAAGCTACGCTTACTCGTTCTGCGCAAACCCGTGAAACCGTCGCCCGCACACCGCTGTTATCGATTTTGGTCATTCAAACAGGCAAGAAGTCAATCCCAGCCACAGTTGACGCTATCTCCACAATCACTGTTATGTAAACGTTTGGGTCCGATGAGAGTTACCGTAAAGAATTCTTTACCCTGAAATGATTTCTGATATTAATTAATATTAATGAAATGGGAATCTTTGCTTTGCTGAAGATCAGCATTGCCCGTGATTCATTGAAACTCTTAAATGAGTATCTGAAGTTCAATACTCGGCTGGAAGAATCCAGGGTCGAATTGGAATTCCTCAATGAATGCGTACAGGCAAACCGCTATCCAAAGCACTTTTGGAGGGAAATACGGCGGTGTGACCTCTACCCAAACGCAAACACCTTGAAGAGACATGCACTCAATTATGTGGATACCATCCGCGTTAAGATATCTGAGCTGGAGAGATTCATTTCGCAAAGATTAACAGCTGTGTTATGCCTGCCTGAAGATTTGAGACAGCCTTTTGAGGATTATGTAGAACTGGTTAAACAGCAAATGGGAGTAAGGAAACAAAAGAAGTTAGTACGCTTAATAGCCATGTCCCCCAGTTGTCATTTCCGAATAACCCGCAGCGATATGTGTTTAACCTTTCAAGTGTGATACTAACCCAGACGCAGCTGAGCTTGTTGTCATTAGGTCCAAAGTTTTGCATACCATGTAAGAAAATAGATCAGGCGGCTTTAGAGGTGCAGTTTGAAAGCCTAATTGCTCAGACTAAAGACCTGCTTCCAACCTCATCAAGTGATGTTGAGAATCTAAAATCTAGCCTAGTTCATAGTTGCCACGAATACGTTAAAACCAAACCATCTAGTAGTAGTATTATCACTAGGGAACAAATCCAGTCACTTAAAGAGCTACGATTAAACAACGAATTAATAATCTCTAAGCCAGACAAGGGCTCCGGCATAGTGCTAGTGGATAGGGTGGATTATATCCATAAAATGCAACACATCCTCAGTGATGAGAGTAAGTTTCAGAGGCTCATGACAGGAAAAGACAACACTGGAGAGTTAGAGAAACAGCTAACCGGCTGCCTCAGGCGAATGATGCAAGCCAAACTTATCACGAAGAACGAATTCGAAAAGCTGAAGCCTTCAGATAGACACCTACCGAGATTATATGGCCTACCTAAAGTTCACAAGGAAGGCGCCCCAATGCGCCCAACCTTGGACATGGTGGGTTCTCCTCAGCATTTGTTGGCCCAGTGGATGGTGGCGAAGCTGCAGCCGTTACGGAATTTGGTTTGTACTTACTGCGTGAGAGACACGTTCGAATTCATTGAGAGGATATCTGAAAGCAACCTTGTTGACAAAAGGATGATATCATTCGATGCCCAGTCGCTGTTCACAAACATTCCATTGCTCGAAACCGTGGATTAGGTATGCGACCTTGCTCGGCAGCTGCCCATATACACAACTTTTCCGGAGAATTTGCTGAAGGAGGTGTTACTTCGTTGCACGTTAAATGTTCAGTTCACTTTCAATGATGAAATGTACCGTCAGCTTGACGGAGTGGCCATGGGATCTCCTTTGGGACCGCTGCTGGCTGATATATTCATGGCGAAATTGGAATATGGCCCACTTGCGCCGCACATCCGTGAAACCGAAATGTACGAACGGTATGTGGATGACACCTTCGTACTTTGCAAATTCGAAAAGCATGCGGAACAGTTGCTGAAAGCTTTCAATGACGCACACTAGAATCTCCATTTCACTTGTGAACACGAACTCGGAAACCGGTTACCTTTCTTGGATGTAGAAGTTATCCGTAACTCAGACGGATCATGCAGCAGAAAGGTACACAGAAAGCACACATGGACTGGGCAGTACACTAACTTCCACAGCGCAGTACCACTACAGCACAAGCGGAGTTTAATCAGATCTCTCGCCTTCAGTGCGCGCAGTATTTGTACACCGGATACCGTCAACGAAGAACTACAGAGAATCAGCGACGCCCTCAGGGAAAATGGCTATCCGGATAAATTTATCATGAAACATTTGAAGGAACGTAATCGAAAGCCACCTAGGAGCATTGCTCCTAAGAAAGAGCTTTTCATACATATACTCTTTAAGGGCGATTCTGCGGCTGATATCTTATCCAGACGCTGTCGAGAAAACTTATTTCGCGGCCCGCCTGAGAATCGTTTTTCACAATAAGCCGTTGCTTACAAAACCCTTGAAGGATAGACTACCGCCGTTGACCCGTTCAATGATCATTTATCAGTACTCGTGCTCCTGTGGTGCACGATACGTGAGTCGCACGACGAGACGCCTATCTCAGAGGGTTCGTGAACACATCCCGGCATGGTTTTACACAGGCGAAATGAGGTCTTCAGACAGCTCTATCATGTCGCACCTCCTTGAATGTGGCCATACAGCTTCAGAGAATGACTCCAAAGTCATTTACTCATTACCTGAACACTTGTCCCAAGGATTCCGCAAACAGCTCTTATCCATCGCCGAGGCTATGTACATTCACCATCTTAAGCCGGAATTATGTGTCCAAAAACGGTTTATACGGCCGATACTACTACCTTGGCCAACGGACACCGTTACTTAGTTATTTGGCTGTTATCTTACCTACTTAATTACGTTGCACTACTGAGCCTTGTGTACACATGTTTATTTAGTTTACTTGGTCTACCATCTCTATGTCTCAAGTTATCGATTTTGGTCATTCAAACAGGCAAGAAGTCAATCCCAGCCACAGTTGACGCTATCTCCACAATCACTGTTATGTAAAAGTTTGGGTCCGATGAGAGTTACCGTAAAGAATTCTTTACCCTGAAATGATTTCTGATATTGATTAATATTACTGAAATGAGAATCTTTGCTTTGCTGAAGATCAGCATTGCCCGTGATTCATTGAACCATTCAATAAAACTTACGCGGGCAACCAAACGTACCCAACACCAGCCACAATGCCTCGCGACTCACCGTATCAAATACCTTGGTGAAATCTACAAAAAGCGAGTACAACAGCTGGTGTCGTTCTCTGCACTTCTCTTGCAACTGACGAGCCGCAAACACTATATCTGTAGTGTTGCGACCCGAACGTAACCCACATTGCTCTTCCGATACGTTCGGTTCCACAATCTGACGGACGAGGTAGTTGAGCAGGATTCGGGCAATCACCTAGCCCACACAACTCAGCAAATTGATGCCACGATAATTCGTTCAACATTGCTTGCTCCCTTTGCCCTTGTGCATTGATAGCACAAGGGCATCCTTCAGTTCAGGAGGCACCTCCTCCTCAATCCATACACGTTGCACTAAGTGGTGCAGCGCAGTCACCAACGCGGGTCCGCCGTGTTTCAATACTTCAGGCGGGATCCCGTCGGCACAGGCACTCTTGCCGTTTCGCAGCTGAGCAAGTGCTCTCTGCGTCTCATCCAGTGTCGGCGTGTCCGTGAGATTCACCGTCACATCGTGCTGCTTCAGGCCGTTCAATGTAGGCCAGTCGATCTCTGAACAGTTGTTCAAGAGACAGTCGAAGTGTTTCCACCAGATCTGCAGTCTGTGTGCAGGTAGCGCCTGAACTACCATCGATCAGTGTCCTCAGCGGCTCCAATCTCGGTCTATACACCGCCTTCAAGGAGTCAAAGAATTCCTTGTGTTGGCCGCGTTCAGCGTAGCATTCCATCTGCTTCGCCTTTTCCGTCCACCATGCATTTTTAATGCGACGGAGCTCTCGGGTCAGTCGCCGTCGAAGTTTGCGAAACTGACTACTCTTTCCCAAGTCACTGGTGTCTGCAACATGTGCAGCAAATGCTGCATTCTTCTCCGACACCAATGCGCCGATCGTCGCATTGTTGTCATCAAACCAATCAGGCCGCTTACGGTTTGCGCGCCCGATGGTCTCCTCGGCAACAGCTGTCATTTGGTCGCGAATGTGGTGCCACAGGTCTCACACTGTTTCTATGCATTCCATATCACACAGGCCTGCAACCATCGCCTTGTCCAATTCAGTACTTCTCTCCACGGTACCGAGGGAGATAATGTTGAATTCATGCCGATTCACGGTGGGAGTGCAATACATAGATTTATGAAAATATATATACAGTATGGTCCGTACCAATTTATGATCAGTGCCACACTCAGCTCCACGCAGTGCACGTGTCATGCGCACTTCACGCATGTCACGCTGACGTCCGATGAATTAGTCGAGTAGGTGAGCGTGACCACTCAGTGGGTGCGTCCAAGTTGCTATATCACTCGCACTCAGTGCAAACCGAGTGTTCGTGATCGTCAGGCCGTGAGTGGCACACAGTGAGAGCAACCTGTCACCGTTCACATTCGCTGAATCAATGCCATTCGGACCAATGAAATCTGTCTACACTGATGCATCACGCCCAACGCGCGCGTTGAAATCACCCATCAGAAATAGTTGGCGGCTCCTCGGCACAGACCGTATCGCGCAGGATAGCTGAGTGTAGAATTGATCACGCGTGTCATCAGGATAACACATAATCGGACCTTAGGTGCTTATAAAGGTGGCAAACTTATCTCTTCCGACTCGTAGGCGAACAGTCATCATTCGCGCGCTGATGCCTGTTGGTTCACCCACCAGCTGGTCATGGAGGCGATCGGATATTGCAAATCCGACCCCATTATCACGTGGTGCTGAGGCGGCGTTGCCCACCCAGTAGAATGTGTAGCCAGCACCTGCTTCATGCAACTTACCTTGCTCAGCGAGCCGGATTTCACTGAGCGCCGCAATCTCGATGCTGTAGCGCGCCAGTTTCCTCGCAACTAGTGCAGTGCGTCTTTCGGGGCGCTCGCTGGAGTTCCGGTCTAGTAGTGTGCGCACGTTCCAGCACCCGATGCTGAGTGCTTTGCGCGCAGGCATGCGATTGAATTGGTGGGCAGTCGCACGCGAGGTGGCGGTTGTGCTTTGGAGGTTTGCTTGAGGGACTCCACCCGGAGCCATTGGCTTAATAGCCAGACCCACAAGGCAGTGGGGAGAAGATCCAGTTCGGGAATGTGATCGCAGAGTCAAATTGGGATCTGCTTGACGGCCGTCAAACGCAGCCTTTTAGGTACTGGAGAAGGGCGTAACCCAATTCCTACCCAGCGGTCGCCACGAGGCGGGGTCCAGGACATGAGCCGATAGCACAACAGTAGCAGCAGTGGGTAGACCATCTGACACGAGCTAGCCACCACCAGTCTCGGCGCACCATAGGCTCTCCCGCGATACATAATATATATATATATATATATATATATATATATATATATATATATATATATATATATATATGTACTTGTACTCCGGGCGTTGGCGGGATTAAACTGAGCTTGATGATTTCCCCTTTTCTTATTCTCCGACGTTAACTATGATGTTTGGTCGTTCCCTCCTATTCCTTTAACGAGTTCCTGAGCTGGGGGACCATTAGAATCCTTGATCGGACTTTGGGTTGCAATCACAATTGCCGCACATTTTGCACTGTGTGCTCTTATTTTACGGAGTTTATTGGCTATAGCGCTAGCGGTTCAAGTATATTTACCGGTTTTTTCGTTGCCTCGTACCCACGCGTATACAGCTGTGTAGTCACACACTGTCCTTTGTAATCGCATAGTTTGGATCCACCGTAATTATTCACCCATCTATCTATTACGCTCACCCCGCTTTTTGCTTTACTTTCGTTGCTCAGTCTTATCTAAACTGCAATTGTTTATGCAGTTTAACTCTTCCCCGCTTGTAGTCAAATGTCTTACCTTTTTTACACCAGAGCTAGGAAAGCTGGATAGCGTTCCCCTGTTATTTTTAGCGAAAACCCGTTAGTCATTTTGCGTCCGACCTATTTGGTACGTTTTGTTCGTTATGAACGTGTTCACAGATTCTCCAGCAATTTACACTACTGAACAACTCACTGATTACTTTACTCTGCCTTCTGTTCTCTTTCAGTCGACTTATACTTTTCACAAGCTTGCGGTTCGCCTATTTATTCAATGCCTCTACTCTGAGGATGTTATTCGCCCAATGTGCTGTGTGTCATGAACTGTTTTCTGGCAGCGTTGGCTGCGTGATGTCGGCGCTGCCATGTGGTCATGTGTTTCACAAAGTTTGTGTAGACACATGGTTCCGGTCATCATCCACTTGCCCACAATGCAGAATACAAGTGAAGTCCACCAAAGGCATTACTCGTCTTTTCTTCGATATTCTTCCCTCGGCTTCTAAATCGTCACATTCCGAAGCTAATGTCCCTGTGGAAAGTTTCATTGTGAGTTTCGTTTGTTTGTCGTTCCCTAGTTGTGCTGGCCTCTATTTATGAAAGGCAGTTGCTGATGGTGATTTAAATTTTTCGTGCTTCATGGAGAGATTGGTTCCTTCGTTGAATGCCTAACTTAACACATGCGATCGGGTTTTCTTCAACTTCATTCCCCTCGACTGGTTTGTTCTCCTCTGCTAGCGTAGTTATCTTACCCGACTGCATCATTTGCATCGCTTCATTACTAAATGCGCTGTCTTCGTGCCTCCCTGTTTTATTCTGCGTACTCCGTTTCCGCGTTTCACGCGTCACTTTCATCCGACTTATTATGGCATTGCGATTTCTTATAGTGTATTGTTCACCCTCTTGTTATCCAACTGGACTCACACCTCTTCAGTCTTATTACATGATTCCGGATGCGGATATCAACACACACTCGACCTATGCATATTTACTGGCTGTTGGACACTATTCTCACGTTGCTTCGGATCTTGCTCGAATTGTGGTCCGGTATCACCAATTACTGTTGCTCCATCCTGTTAATCGGCCTTCCGCATTGTATTCTGGGTTTGCTTTATAGCGTGGTATAGTTTTTCTTAGTTTCCCTCTTAGACCACACTGCTTTTGCTGTGCCCATCACCTCTGCTAACTCAACTCATCAACCTCCACTCACTGACCACCCCACCTTCCGTCTTTCACCTATATGTACTCTTATGTCTTCTTCGGTCACCGTCACAAACGACCCACTGCTCGCAACTAATGGGAGTAACAGCCAAACTCCCGGTTTTCAATGTCCACCGTAGCTCCAGCTCTTCTTCGACTTAGCTCTCAATTCATCCTTGCATCGTTTATTGTTCAAACCTTGATAGAGATCGGACGACAAGCATATCTGTCTCGTACTCTTGAAACGCTCTCGCTAGACATCGGTTTCCTTTAGCGACCAGATCACAAGACTCTAGCGCCGTCATCAGAATGACCTCTCTGGTAAACGCTGACGCCAAATACCACTTGCGGCTTTACGGAGACCCAGAAGCTGCAGCCTCTGGCAAAGCTGGTGTTGGGGTTACACTAAGTGGCAAGGCTGAGGTAGCTTTTCTTGACTGGATCCCAGTCAACAGTTGGCTATGCGCAGTCCGATTAAGAAGTTCATGTAATGTAAGCAGGCATCGAGACGTTAAGCTTGCCTTATTTGTCGTCTCCGCCTACATCCCTACATACTGCAGCCCGGATGCAGTCAAGGATAGCTTTTACCAGCAGTTACATGAACTTCTGCGTTCCTCCAAAAGTCCTGATATGGTCATTCCTGTCGGGTTTGTCGCCTTCCACTAAGGGAGCACCACCTTGGGAGTAGTTTTGGCCTCGATGGTAATTGATCAGACAATGGAGATAGACTGCTTGTTCTTTGCTCTGATCATCGAGCACTAGTTTTCGGCACTCGAGGAGACACACTGCTACCTGGCGCCCGCCATCACAAACGCAAGAGTGCTCCCAGCTTGACCACATAGCAATCAGCTACAGATGGCACGGAAGCGTAACGAACTGCCGATCGTACTGGTCAACTTTTCTAGACTTTGATAACACATTGGCTCGTGCTAAGATTTGCATGCGTTTCGGAGGATCACCTAAGCGCGCTCACTACCGACCGGGCTCCGCAAATCTACAAAACCCTGCGGTTTCAACCAAGTACCAAGCCTCTTTGTCAACATTGCTTTGCTCAAGTATTGGCAGTGTCCTCGATTCGCAGTTGGGGTTGATCAAGGATACTTTAGTTTCCGCCAGTATCGACACATGTGGAGTTGCCGGTCACCCACCGAAGCACTGGATTTCTGCTGTCTCCTTTTCGCTGATAGACAAACGCCGCTTGATCCCGTCGGATTCCAGCCACAGTGAAGAACGCCAACCCCTGGCTCGAGAGTTGCGCAGGAGTCCGCCAATGGACCTCGAAGCTTGATGGTGTGAACGTGCTAGGGAGATGGAGCTTGCTAGTCTCTCTGGCAATGCCAGAAAACTTTTCCATCTTATTCAAGTCACTGAAGGTGTTCGATCTGGTGTAAGTGAAGCAATATGCGAAGAGGATGGCACCTTAATAACCAATCTTCAACGACGGTTGGAGCGGTGGGCTGAAAATTTTGGCTCACAGTTTTGTTGGCCCCCAGCTCCATTTGCTACCTCTAGCGCTCGCACTGGTGCCGAGTAGTCCACCCCCACGGATCCTCCCTCTTACCAGGAAATCGAGCAGAAGCTTCGCCATATGAAGCGTTATAACGCCCCGGCCCTGATGGTCTTCCTCCGACTCTATTTAAAGATGGTGGCGCATCGCTGGTTCGCGAACTCACTGCTTTGTTCTCGAAGTTTGGTCGAAAGAGGAAGTTCCGTCATCTTGAGGTGAATCGATAATCGTCCCATCTTCAAAAAGGGCCTGCGCACCATCTGCTCTAACTACAGTGGTATGAGCTTAGTCCTCGTCGTTTGCAAGCTGTTGGTATCCATCATACTTCGCAGGCAATCCCCGACGTGCGAATCGTTGCAGCGAGTAGAACAAGTTAGGTTTTGCCTTGGTCGCGGCTGCATCGACCAAATCTTCATTTTCCGCCAAATCCTCGAGCTCCGCCATGTGTATCAGAGGCCAACAATTGCTGTGTTCTTGGATATCCGTGCAGCCTTCGATTCTATTGATCAGACTGTACTGTGGCACTGCCTGCTGAGGAATGACGTCCCTGATTTCGTCTCCATACTGCGCGCTCTCTATGCTATGACCTTGGGCAGAGTTATGGCATCTGGCAAGCTTTCGCCTTCCTTTGTGGTCTCCAGTGGAGTTCGACAAAGATGCCTTATCTCTTGTTCCTATTCAACTTTGCCATTGAGGATGTCCTGAAGAACGCTCTGGGTGATTTGCTGAACGCTGGCGTAGAGCCCCTCCCAGGTAGTCGAGTTGTTGTTTTGGATTATGCTGATGATGTCGTCTTGCTGGGTGACGATTCATACGCCGTCCAACTTGCACTAAATCTCTTGGTAATTGAGGCGACGAAGTATGGTAAGTGCTTTTCACCCTCCAAATGCAAGGCTATCTTTCAAGACTAGCAGGTGCCTGTGCCATCACTCACTTGGTGGTGAGACACTAGAGGTTGTGGAGAGCTTTGTCTACTTAGGAAGGTGCATCACTGCTGGCGGGGCTCAGACGAGATTTCGATGCGCATGTCAAGAGCATACCTCTCTTTTTCTAGACTGAAGCACTTGTGGCCTCGCCACGACATTCGTCTCTCCATCAAAGGGCGGGTCTGTTGTGCAACTGTTCGTGCTGTACTGTTGTACGGATGCGAGACCTGGCCCATTCGTAAAGGTGACTTGCGCAAACTATCCTTCGAGCACCGCTGTCTGCGATCCATGACCCGTGTGTGGTGGCGGCATCACATAAGCAGTATGGAAGTTAGACAGAGTGTCTTGGGATGAGGTAGCCACTCGCTCGAGGAGCTCGTCTCACTGCGTCAACTGCAGTGGCTGGGACACATATTGCGCATGCCTGTCCAGCGTTACCCACGTCCTTCGTTGTTTGCGGTTGCTGGACAGGGTTGGAAAAGTCGATCTGTTGGACACCCTGTAACTTTATATATATATATATATATATATATATATATATATATATATATATATATATATATATATATATATATATATATATAAAGTTACAGTTATATATATATATATATATATATATATATATATATATATATATATATAAAATCGTTCTCCTGTCTAGGTCTGGGCAACTTGACAGTGTTCTGCCCACGCAATACAATGAATTTCTCTTCAAACATTTTATTGATGCTCTGGCCACCGCAGAGGATAATCAACGGTGCCCTATCTGCTGCATCGAGCAGAGTGGATAGGGTTTGGATGCTACTGCTCAAGCCTTCCCATCTTCTTATTCCCTTCTTACGCTTTTTCTCTCTTGCCGTCCCGTTCGAGCTTCACTTTTTCCCCCTGTTTTAAACCCCCCCAATTCTCGGTCCTCCCCGCCTTGCTTTGCTAGGCTTTTATTTTTTACTTTCAACTCACATGTGAACGCGGAACGTCACTCCTGTCCTGCCGTCAAGCCCATGTCCAATCAAGCGGCCAAGCCCAGTTCATCGACTTCCATTTTGGGCCCTTGATCATCCTTCAGATTGGCATGCCTCCATGTACGCCCATTGCTACAGATCAGTCAACAGGCAGCACTTGCCCGAATATTAGGGACCCTCTCGATCGATATCTGCTGCTTATCGGAGACCTGCCTGCAAGACTCGAGCTCTGTGCTCACTTTGCGATCCCCTTCAGGTGACACCAGCAACACTTTCTCATTGCGCCTACCCGGTGACGATGCAGCTTCGAACACCGGCCAAGCTGGTGTTGGCATTGCCCTGAGTCCCCGGGGTAAAGCTACTCTGGTTGATTGGATTCCAATCAGTAGCCGGATGTGTGCGGTCCGATTGGCTGGCTCGTTCAAAGCTTCGAAGTCGCGTGGGACTAACAGATGTCTATTCGTCATCGCTGCCTATGTACCCACAAACTCTAGCGATGATTCGGTAAAAGACGACTTCTATCGCCAATTGAACGAGCTCCTTCGACACAGAAGAATCTCGGACACTGTTGTGCTGGCTGGGGATCTGAATGCTCAAGTTGGAAAATTATCCACAAGTGAGTTGCATCTGGGCGGCCGACATGGTGTACGCTCCCGTAATGATAACGGTGTGCGGTTACCTCATTTGTGTGAAGATGCTCGCTTATTTCTTGCGAGCACTAATTTCCGACACTGCATACGCCAGAGGGTGACTTGGCGCCCACCAGCCTCGAACCAGCTATGGACGCAAATCGATCACATTGCGATAAGTTACCGATGGAGAGGCTGTGTCCAGAACTGTCGCTCAATTTGGAGCACATGTGTGGACACCGACCATGCACTTGTATGTGCTGACCTGCGGATGCGCTTTGGTGGACGCCCACGACGACGTTGTGAGCGCATTGACACCAGGCAACTGGCGAAACCAGCTGTTCTGAATGCCTATCAAAGTACGCTGTCATGCTAGTTGAGTAAGCGCTCACTGGATGTAGTTGAAGGTCACGGGTCACATGTTCATCAGACCTTACTAGCAGCAGGCAAATCCTCATGTGGTATGTCTGATAGCCAACATGGACATTGGGTCTCTTTGCAGTCTATGGGACGTATCGATCCTCCCCGGCATATTCCGGCTAGAAGCGAACACAATGAAACTCACAAAGGGCTCCGAGCAAAACTCCCTGCTAGCCTGAAGAGAACGCGAATCCTGGTGGTCTCATCATGCATGAGGGATGGAAATGGCAGCTGCTTTCGGGAACCACCGTAAGTTATTCCGGCTGATATGGGAAATGGGCAGCAGGAGACCTGGTGTTAGTGAAACAATTTGTGACGAGAGTGGACAGCCTATCCACAACTTGGGAAAACGCTGTAAGGATTGGGCTGAGCACTTTGAAAGGCAATTTAATCGGTCAGAATTGTTAGATTTCTCGCCGACCACTGATCGCCCCGCTCCCTGAGCTGTCCCTTTGGATCCACCCTCGCTCAGAAGTCGAACGTGAGATCGCACAGTTGAAGTTAAATAAAGCAGCGGGACCTGATGATCTTCCTCCAGCCCCCTTCAAATTCGGGGGACCTGCTTTTTTGAATGATTTACACGAGTTACTAGTGAAACTGTAAGAGCAGGAAACTGTCCCAACCGCTTGGAGCCGCTCAGTCATAGTTCCAATCTTCAAGGGAGGCTCACGATCGGAATGCGGCAACCATAGAAAAATCAGTCTGATCTCCATCGCCTCCGAATTGCTTGCCTCTGTCATTCTTCACAGACTGACTGGCACTTGTGAAAGCCATATTCGTGAAGAGCAAGCCAGGTTTCGTCGAGGTCGTGGCTGCATCGACCACATTTTCACTTTGCGTCAGTTGTTGGAGCGCCGTCACACATATTGGCGGCCCACCGTTATCCTGTTTCTCGGTATCAAAGTTGCATTCGATTCGGTGAATATACGTGCATTTTGGGACTGTCTACTCAGGAAAGGTGTACCTGAGAATTATGTAAATATTATCCGAACATTATACGCGCGTAGCTCAGGCAGAGTGAGGGCTTACGGCAAGTTGTCGTCGGCTTTTAATATCTCAGCGGTGTGAGACAAGGATGCCCGCTGTCACCTTTCCTCTTCAACTTCGCTAGTGATGAAGTCATAGAAATGGCGTTTGCAGGACGCGACTTAGAAGGTGTGGATCTGCTCCCAGGAGAACGACTTCTTGACTTGGAGTATGCTGATGATATTGCCCTAATCTGTGACAGCTCCCAGACATGCCAAGCGACACTGGACAGATTAGCACTGGCTGTCAGCCGCTTCGGGCTTTGCTTTGCACCATCGAAGTGCAAAGCGTTCCTCCAAGATTGGCCTGGACCGCCTCCTCTGACCCTTGGTGGGGATCAGCTAGAAGTCGTTCGAACATTCAACTACCTGGGAAGTTGTACAGTGCCCATGGGATTGAAGATGAGATCGCGAGCCGTACAGCAAAATCTCGAGGCCATTTTGCTAATCATCGCCACTTATGGCGGCGGCGCGAAATCACTCTCGCCCTGAAGGGTAGAGTGTACAATGCAGCGGTACGTTCGACCCTACTGCACGGTTGTGAAACCTGGCCCGTTAGATCACCGGACATAAAGAGGCTAGTTGCGTTCGACCACCTTTACCTTCGTAATTTAGCTCACATCTGGTGGAAACACCGCGTGATCAACGAGCGTGTTCGACGCATTGTTTTCGGCACAGGAAAAGGAACTGAACCGCTCAGCACCCTTATTTCACGCACCTGGCTCTGATGGTTTGGCCATGCCAACCCATCGACTCCCGCGACATGCCTTGTTTGCTCCCTGGGAGTGTGGATGTAAGAAGCGATGACTTAGTCGAATGGAATGAAGGCCCTTACTTCGAAGCTGGCCTCAGTTGGAGCGTCTCGGCTCCCTGTTTGGGGTCCAAAAGACGGTGAACACGTTTGGTTAGATACACTTGTTGATATGGCTAGGAGCTGACCTCAGTGGCGTTCGTGCTGTGAGTTTCTTTGTCCGTCCCCATCCCTTTTAGCTTCCCTTTCCAACCACCATCTCATTATTTAGCGTTTTATAATTTTGCATGGTAAATTATATTTTTATCTGCTGCATAGTAGCCGGCAAGTAGCTTACCGGAACGATGCCCATCCTTTGCCGGTAGCTCAGCTGGCTTGCACCTGTTGCATTTTATTCTCTTTTTTCTTTTAGGTATTGTGGGACAATAGCTGAGGTGTTTCCCACCTCTAGCTATCGTGTATGGTTTTTGATATATATATATATATATATATATATATATATATATATATATATATCGTTGGCGGCATCCGCTTTCCGATTCGCCCGCGCTTAGACCGGGACTTGGGGTGACTGACACTGCACCACCCACAGCTCCAACCACACACCCCATATCCAGTGTAAACCCGAAGGTATAAGACCGGGTGGCATGTGGATGGCAGCCATATTTCATTAACGGAGCTGGCCCACACTCCTTCACAAGCAAACACAAGCAGGCTCTATTTGGGTAATCAAGTGCACACAAGGCGGTGGCTGGACCGTAGTCCGCTCCACACTGAATGCATGGAACCACTCTTTGATCCTAACACGGCCACAAGGACCGTGCATCCCGTCCCCTCTAGCAACGACCAACTGTCTCCTGGAGCCAGTATGGACGAGGTAGTGGGTAATAGACAGGTAGGCACCTTGTCAACATGCACATCAAGCGCAGGCACACCGGAGATATGAAGCAACAGCCAATCACTCGAAACGACGATATCAAGTAAAATGAATCCAATAATGCATATAGATACGTTGACATAACTCTTCACTAAATGAGCATATGAAATAAATTGGTTATGAAAAGTTTGCGATAAGTTCACGACGTCCGACAATATAGTTTAAAAAATGTCACAAACGCAAAAATACTATCTTAGTTAGTTCAATTATCTTGAGCCATGTGTGCAAGTTAATGGAATATTGTTCACGTAGGCATTAATGATGCAATATAGCAAACGCACCTGAAATAAAGAGACACAGCACGCAAGCACGCGCTGCGGCAGTTTTGTCTACGTTTTCTACAAGACCTGTCGTCATTTCGGTGTTGACCCCAAGTAGCCTCGCTCAGGGCTCACTAGGCCTGCCTGACTGTGGCACTCACGACCGCATGTGCTACAGCACCATACAGTCGATGTCGATGGAGTACAACCCATCGGCGCCTGCCGCTTCCGCATTTGCCGCTTCTTCTCTGCATGCATGAAGTCTTTCTCCTGCACCTCGTCTGTAGGTGGAAACTAAGCAGAACTTACCTACACCTTCACTTTTGTTTGTCGTTTATTCATTGAACTTCTGCCACGATAGGGGCAATGTGACAAATGCCTCCCTCTGAACACAGTAGTCCTGGTATTCTTTGACATACTGATAGCCTACAGGAATGACAGTTCAATGCGTAGACCGCTTTGCCGCATGATTACATTGAAAAGACAGTACTCGGATTTCACACGGCTAAGTTCGGGCTCTTTTGCTAGAGAAATCCGTAACGTCATGTTTTGGTTTCCGCTGACTACGGATAACCTGCCTGAATCTACTGTGCGGCTCCCAAACAGTTCAACTCGCCACGAAATGAGAACGCCAGAACTAGCCGGACCGAGGGATTTCTATTTTATTAGAGCATGGCGCAATAAATAGGTAGTAGGAAACCACTACCACAACAAAATTTTAGAGGTTAATTAATCTTACTTAACACAACTCAAACGGTTCAAGTTCATGGTCCGACTTGCCGTTGATTCCATATAGATTCGCATTTTGATCCTCACTCGCGTTCGATCTCTAAGTGTAGATCGATCCACTGTTGCGCCACTGCTCTGGGCCTGAACGCTAACTCTCCGTAACACATTGATGTGCTAAGCAGGAGGTGCGGCTAATAACAATGCGTTCATGTTCCCACCGCCAAGACGATCTCTAAGAGACTGGAAGAAAATGCTTACGTTGCCGGAGCTACAATTAAGTACAACTACCGTATTCCAACAGTGTCTGCACTCCACGTTCGCATACGCAAACTCCTAGTCATCATTAGAGCTTCGCTACATTATGGCTCTCATCCCTCCTCCATCGACCAATCCCCATAGCACCTCTCCATCTGTTTACACGTCCCACATCATGTTACCTCTAGTTGCGAGGCCCACCTACATGTACACGGCAGAACTGCGACCCCGTTCTACAACCCTCCTTTTGTACTCAGAAGGATCGCGTTTGTTACTTTGCTTTTACTGTTGTAAGTCAAGAAATAAGCGATAAATAAATGTGTGAATGCCTGCAATTTTGACGAATTTGCTCTTTCAGCAGCATTAAACTTTTGCCCCGTTGTATGCCACATGCATATATATGGTCGGTAGTTCCCACTTGACGTCATACTGCGATAATTTCCGAATCGAATCATGTAGCAGTGCTTTGTCAGCTTTGCTTACTTATTCCCTAGGAACTAGTTTATTCGAATGTTATTTCAAATCATCTGTCTTACATTGACCCTACTTTGCCAACTTGATTGCAGCCTATCAAAGACGATCATTCTAATCAACAACTCCGCCTAGAATTGCACCGTTTACAATCGGAGATCACCAGGTTAGAGGAATTGCTGAAACAAGCGGAACGAAAAACTGAAGAAAACTCGAAGATTCTCTTGGACCGCGAGAGAGAAGTTTTGAGTATCACTACATTATACACTGAATCTGAAAAGCTATATGAGAAAGAGCGTCAGCGTTGCCGAGAACTGAGGTGACTTAGCTTCTCATTGTTTTTGGCATTTTACACGAATTCTAAATGGGTAGGGGTATTAACATTGTTACATTGTTATTGTAAATGATAACTAGTCGTACTCAACGGTACGTTTCCCATGTCATAGCACATCATCATCCGTTTGAACTGATGCTTCACTGCTGTACGACCATGGTGGCGTAAAAAACGACGAGTAATAACAGGGAGAGTAGGGGACCTAGCGTAGAACCGTGATGTCCCAAACAAATATCCAGAATCTAAGCTCCTACACCTCATCAAAAACGTGCCATCACCAATAGCTGGCTATCGTGCAAAGATAAGGCGGCATCAGCGAGACGACTTATTTGCGGCTTTCACTGCGTCGCGTCATAAACAGACATTACCCCGCAGATAACTCAGCACCAAACACACTTTAAACAGGCAGTCCGTTTCGGAGAGTGCAGCAGACGCGTCAGTAGTGTCGACTGCGAACCATGTTCTGTGAAATCTTGAGCCAAGCACAAGGTGGACCAAGTGGACTCCAGCCTGGAAGACGAGACGGACTAACGGCATCCAGTTTGGTCGTCAGTGACTTCATTTCACGCTGCCAAATCAACTTTTGTCCACCGCGAACTTTGCGCACTATACAAGGCCCTCCTAGGTAAGCGGTGACCAGGCACACGTAATACGTGCCCAAACCAGCGCAAATTATGCAGTACTATCTGTTGTTCAAAGGAACTAGCCTGATTATCACTGCCTAGCTCACAGCTACGCATATCATCGCCACGGACATGCTGTTGTTATCCGACACCAGCGATGTGCAAAAACTTGCTTGCTCTGCAAGTTCTCAGATCGAAGGGGCCAAGTCTCCCACTCATCGAGTAAAATGGCCCTCACTATGGCCTTGTAAACATGGTCTTTTAGACAAAAGGAAACCCGTATCTGACGCCAAAGATGTCTCAGTTCCAAAAAAGCAGTTCTAGCTTTTACAATACTTGAACTGACTGACGTCCGTCGTTTCTGCTACAGCTGCCAAGATAGGTGAGGTAATCAACTACCTCAAGTTCTTCCTTATCAAGCATCAACGGGTCATCAAATGGCTGGTGATCCTGGAGCAACACTGCACTTTGAGGGTGCGAAGCGATACCAAATAACGGGACCACTTTAGACAGGCTATTCAGGGTTGATTGTGCCGCCCCGACATCGCTGAACAGCAAGACAATGTCGCGCGCATAGTCAAGATCAACTAGCCTCTCAGGCAGTACATCAACCCTTGCACCGTGAGAATCCGGAAGGGAACATTCCATGATGGAGTCCACTACGAAATTGAACAAAAATGGGGAAAGTAGACAACTCTGACGAAAACCACTTGTTGTCGGAAAGACATCCGATCATCCTCATCATCACTACATGTTAGCTGAGGGTGAAAAACACACCTCTGCTAACTTTCCACAGTACATAAAAATAAAACACTAGGAAATTACACTACACTACTATAATTACACTACAATATAATGCTAACTAGTATATTATACCTTTTTTACAGTTATCCGATAAATCACTATAGACCCCGACGCGGCCTGTAGTGTTCGAGTACAGAGCACGGAAAGTGGTCACATATTTCATGGGCACACCTTTTCCCGCAAGTATTTCGAACAGAATGCATCGATCGATTAACCCCAACGCACTTTTGAAGACCAGCGACACAGTAGTAACAGTAGTCTTGATGCAAAAAGGGGATTATAAATACTGAAGAAATCTCTTAGCTCACACCTCTACTTCGCAAATTATATGGACGCGTCCTCTGCTGATGCTCCAAGATATCTGAGACAGTGTCCGGTGTTAGAATAGGATGTAAAAGAGTGTAGGCAATATCGTCTGTACAACCATGTTCCGGGAGTTCTTCCGCTGGTAGTAGGGAATCCCCGTGTTACATAGCTAAGGCATCTGATAAAATCCGCTGCTTGGACATTGATACAGGAAGGTCGCCTCCAGGGACGAGGCTGCCAATGGGAACGTTCTCCTCTACCATCAGGTAGTTTCACACGAGTGTACTGAGAGTTGCAACTAATTAGGTTACCTCCTTCCACCAGAGGCTCGTACTTTAAAGGCCGGTCTATTGGCCTGAGAAAATGCGGACCAGGAACTGTCAGCCAAGATGGCATAGTAGATCCATTAGTTGACCGTCGCATGAAGCTGCAAGATCGTTCGAGTTGTGGCGTTCGTAGCGGCACATAGTAGAGAACGAATTAAATGTAGCACATTCAGGAAGACAGATTCCCGTGGCGACATTGCAAGGCTTCTGATTTTCAGAGCCAGTGAAATAGTCTTCCAGAGTGTACCATTCATTCCATTTGGTCGTTGGTTTGTGCGTTGTATGCAGTTGTGTGGCTAATTACCACTCCTTCTCTCCGTAAGAAGTGAACTAACTTCGACAACATAAACGAAGACCCACGATCGGAGTGGATGTAAGACGGCATGCCGAAGACAGTGTACAATTGACAGAGGCAATTGATGACAACCGAAGCAAGCATCTGTGAGCACACGAATGCAAATGGGAACCTGGAGTGTTCCTTGATGATGGCAAATATCAGTTTTGAGTGATTGTGAGTAACGGTCCTTTGAAGTCCATGTCCATCTGTTCAGATGGCTGCATAGCTTTTATGAATCGGCCCATGGGTGGTCGATAGAACTAAGGTTTCAATACTGCACAAACGGGGCTTGTTGAAGTCATGCGTTTGACCTCTTCCACGGAATAGAGTAGGTTTCATAAATGAACGAAATGAACCATCCTAGTTAGAGGCACAAGTAAAACGAGAGTGGGCATCAGCCTCTTGATTCTCCTTCCCAAATCTGTAGCTTATATCGTTGTGATAAGCTAATAATTCAACTCGCCGTCTCTGGATTTTGCCATTTTAAATCTTACTAGAATGTTTAATATCAAACACGAAAGATACGGGTTGTTGATCGTTGCTAACTTTCAATTGTGCTCCGAGGAAGTAGTGCCACCACTTTCCAACGGCTTTCACAATTGCACACGTTTCATTTTTAACGGATGAACAATATATTTCACTGGGAGACTGGATGCGCGGGAAAAAGGCCACTGCTCGGTTGTTCTGACTCAGCGAGTCACCGGCGGCTATGTCGGATGCATTTGTTTCAACAAACAAAGGAATACTGTAGTTGACCGTCACAACCATAGCATTTGCTATGGCCACTTTGAGCTGCTCGAATGCACTTCCCATATGTGAAAAAGGAAGAAACACTCGGACTAGTTTTGTTCGGGAGTGATGGAATCCACTGGGAGTTGTAAGTGAACATTCCAACAACTCTCGTTTTTTGGACTTTAGGTCATTGAGGAGTGGAAGTTGACGTAGAGGTTTCATCCGTTCGCCATCGAGTTTTATTTCACCCTTAGATATGTGGTAACCGAGCAGGTTTTAGTATCGTTCAAGGTGATACCATACTTGGCAGCTGCTATCAAACAACTTTTCGTGCTTGTAATCGTGGTTTTCTTTCGTGACCCCACATACTGTTACCGTAGTCAGTATAAGCCAAAGTGTCGTTGAGGCTTTCCACTTTCAGTATCTCATCGATCGTGCGCTGGAAACAAGCTACATCATTGGTAACTCTAAAGGGAATATGACGAAATTGAACAAGATTTCCACATGCTTCAATAACAGTCTAAGGCTTTTTATGTTCAGCGATAGTGATCTGATAATAAGCACAACGAGAAATGGTCTTCACAACGAACGGTCTTTAAAGTGCGAGTCTCTAATGGCATTTGACTATCGATTGAGAAACATAGCTGTAAGAACTGTCGGTATATATTAGGGCGTGCAAATCCATGTTGTTGACACGGATCTTGGTTGTTGTGCGGTACAAACACTTGGGAGCATCAGCCGTTAGAACAAAATATCAGAAGAGGCGGAGGGCTGCAGTGACAGGCGTATAAATTGACTTCGATTTACACACACCCCTTTCACAGGCTTTGCAAATCACTTCTCTTGCAGGCCACTTTCCACGAGGGGGTTTGGGATGACCACAGAAATAGCGAATTTCTCCTAGTACGGCTGATAAGAGGAGGTTTCAGATGAGTGAGTGGATGGAGAATGTGTACGTTGTGAAATGGGCACAGAATGGGCTGAGAACAAGGAATAATCTCAGGTTCGTAGGACCTTGATTTTTTAGCGGCAACCTCAAGAGACCTTACAATACCATAGGCAATTAACAGTTTGAAACCGTCTGTTCCAAGGGTCACGTTCGAGTGCTATTTGTCTGTAATCCAGTTATAAGAGCATCGTGCATAGCATCATTACGATTTGCTTCAGCTGACACAGAACGGCAATCACAGTCCTTCGCTGACTGTTTCATGTTTTGCACGAACTGATCGATGCTCTGCCCATACTCTTTCTTGTACATGAGTAGAAAGGATCGAGCAAAAACGATATTCTTGGGGCGTACACACAAAGAGTGAAGAAATGTAACGGCGCTATGGAATGTTTTGCATTCAGAAACATGTTTATAGACCGAATGGGGAAAAAGTTGACGAGCATATCCAAATTGTCCAAGCCATCAGATTTACTTCGTTTTAGGAAAGCGTTAAATGTTCGTAACCATTTGGTCCATTGCTTAGAAGCGTCAGATATATTTAAATCGATATCGAATTTCCCTGGACGAAGGTAGCGATCCATGAAAATGTTATACCAGTAAATTGATGCGTCGAACGAAGAAAGCACAGCAAACGGGATTACTCGGAGACGGAGGAATACGCTTTACTGGCCTAACAAATAAAGTACAAAAGCTGAAATGGAAAAGAGCAGATCATGATGCGTTAGGTAAAAACCAGATGAGTGCATGAGAATGCGTTAGTACGACACCAAGCAATGCTTCGCAGACAGCAATGACTAAAGACCTGACAGCGCCGCGGGTCCTCGTATCGAAGGGGCTAAGTCTCACTCCCATAAATTAGGACGGCCCTCACTGTGGTCTTATTAACACGGCCTTGCAGACCGAGGGAA